GTGTATGTGTGTATGTGTGTATGTGTGTATGTGTGTATGTGTGTGTGTGGCTGTGTAGGTCAGAGGACCACTTGCATGAGTCAGTTCTCTCCTGTCACTTTCTGGGATCCAGGGTCAAATTTAGGCTTGCATGCAAGTGCCTCTATCTGCTGAGTCTCCTTGCCAGTCCTTCCACTCATTGAATTCTTCATGCCATATTTTTATTTGTTATTTTCAGGGCACAGACTTAATAACATCACTGACTTCTGTGCTACATGATGACAAAGAATTTCCCAACCCCAAAATATTTGACCCTGCCCATTTTCTGGATGAGAATGGAAACTTTAAGAAGAGTGACTACTTTATGCCTTTCTCCACAGGTAAATGAAATTTATTTCTATTGGTATTTCAGGTACAAGGTAAACTTTACTTTTGGCACAATGTTGTCTAGGCTGATCTTGAACTCCTGAACTCAAGCTTCTTGTCCAAGCTGTCTGAGTATTTGGCACTAGAGACATGTGCCACCAGGCCCGATTCTACAAGATGCAATTTGGAGATAAATTGGATCATCCACCATGTCCTCACAGACAAGTGGGTTTGCTCTTTGTGTCTCCTCAGGAGCAACACTTCCAAAGCCCATGCATGTTCCTCAACCATGGCACATCCTCATTGTTGCTCCACATTAGAGGGGCTTTGAGAATATCCAGCCTATATTTTAAATTGAGAAAACTAGAATGTAGGTCAGCAGCAGGTGAGTCAACAGGTCACTGTCATCCAGTTGCATTAGTGCTGTGAGAGAGGGAAGCTTGGGTTTTTAGCAAGGTCAGAGGGGAAGTTCTCATGTCACAGAGCATTCTAACAGGACAGAGGAAAGTTGGCTGGCTCCTAGGGAGGAAGGAAGTGAGGTAAGAAGAGGAGGCAGGGACCTGTACAGAGGAAATGAAGTACACGAGGGGACATTTTTGTAGATTCGGGACACAAGAACTTGACAAAAATGCAGGCCAAGAGAGACCTCGAAAACTCGGAAGGACACACGACAGTGATTCCAGAGCCCCTAGGGTTTCCTCGACTTATGAGCCTACACTATGGTTGTTCAATCTCAGTGCACATTATGTGTTCCAAGTCTCTGAACACAGAATCACATTCTTTTTTGGTCACATGTTTTTATGACTTTCCTGTGGGTCTGCCTTGTCCATTTTCATATGTGACAGACTGAGTCCTTCTTTTTAGGGAACTCATCTTTGGGCAGGGAGGCAGAAGATGACACAGCATAATGTTCAAACGGTCCATGCTGCTGTGAAAGCAGGGGCAGCAAGGAAGTCTGGGAGTCAGGGTCGCAGAGAATCATAGAGAAATGCCACAGATAGTGGGGGCTTCAGGAAAGTATCAGAGCAGCACTTCTTAGACCATGGTGAAGGCCGGAGTTTGGGGAAGGGAGTGGTAAAGTGGAGCTGAGAGGGATAGGATGGCATTGGGTATCAGACGGAAAAGAGAATGTGAATGTTCAGGCCACCCACTTGGATCTTGCCTCGTAGGGCAGATGCAGGACATGCATCTGAAGTAGGTGATTATAGACAGGTAAGCTTGAATAGGCACAAAGGGAAACTTGGTATCTCCTTGACACTGCTGCCTTCAGCCATTAGAGCAGTGAGGTGAATCTGTCACTAGAGGAAGATTGATGTCAACTTGAAAGGTCAAAGGATAATTTCTATTGTATGAATTGTTACTGAAGTTGTGACATAGAGCTCATAATAAATATTTAAAAATGAAGGGTGCCTACTAAAACCAGACATTAAGCAGATGACATTGTATCTAAAGTTGTGTGCATCTCTGTTCATTCTGTCATTCTGTAATGAATGAGCTTAGTAACTGGTGAGGTTAAGATATCCTTTATTAGCAAAGCTCCAGCCAAACGAAAGCCAGAGCATGCCAGGGGCAGCAAGGCAGGGAGGCCAGAGAGAAGGGGCTCCCATGTGCCTTGTCTGTACCTTTAAACCTTATCACGAGTCATCCTGACCTCACCTTGACCATGCCCTGATGGGCGTGGTTAGGCACACCTGTAGCCAGCTTCTAGCAGGTGTGGCTTACACTGTCCCCTACAATTCTGTTTGACCAACCCACCATTTAAGAATCAAATACTTAACTGACTGTCTTTATAACAGTTCATAACCCACTGTAAGGAGAGGATCCTCTGTGTTTGCTTTTGTTTTTCAGGAAAGCGAATGTGCGTGGGAGAGGCCCTGGCTCGCATGGAGCTCTTTCTGTTTCTGACCACCATTTTACAGAACTTCGATCTGAAATCTTTGGTTGATACAAAGGACATTGACACTACCCCAGTGGCCAGTACTTTCGGCTGTGTACCACCTTCATACCAGCTGTACTTTATTCCTCGATAACGGACAGATTGGCTGTTGTTATGCAGGTGTCCCTGACATAGTCCACGCCCTTCCCACTATTAGGGTTACCTCTCTCATTTATTTTCTCATATCTCTCCACTCCCCCACAATACAGTGAGCACCCATCCTCCTTTAAGAAGATTTTCATGAATTACCGCACATATTTTGCCCCCCCCTTCAAGTCTTAAACTTGACTGAGTTATTAGTATGTTAGAGTGTAATACAGAATAGTTCAACCAAGAGCCATCTCTTCTCTGCTTAGTTCAAAATAAAAGGAATTATTAACTGAAGGGTCATTTTTCAGGCTTCTTTGTGCATAATGCATATAAAGAATGAAAAAAGTAAAGTTAGTATCATAATGGGATATCATAATGGGATGAAATTAAAATGAAACAGAAAACGTATGAATTGGTAGCAATAAGTAGGAAGTAGAATTCTTTATTTTGTCAACTTTTTCAAAACTTGTGTTGCTATAGTTACATAGGCTTGTTTTTTTGGCCCTTTATATTAGTCTGTTGGTCTATGTGTCTGTTTCTTTGTCAGCATTTATACTGTTTTTGTTACCATGGCTTTGTAGTGTAATTTGAAATCAAGTATTTTTATAATTCCAACATTAATCTTTTTGTTAAGCATTGCTTTGGGTTTTCAGGGGCTTTTGTGCTTTCATATGAATTTTAGGATTTTTTTCAATCTCTGTGAAAACTCACAGTAGAGTTCTGATGAGGATTGTACCCAATTAGTGAAAGAGATCCACAGGTCTCTTTCACTAATATAGCCTTTTTCATATCAATTCTATTGACCCAGGAGTACAGGAGGTCTTTGCACCTCCATATGTCCCACTCAGTTTTCTTTTAGTGTTAAATTTTCACTGGGGAGGTTTTTGCTTCACTTGTAGGTCGGTTATGTTGTTAAAAACTATCAAGAATAGGATTGTTTCCCTGGCTTCTTTCTCATTGTTTTGAATGCCCAGGCCTGCGTGAGATAGAAACCAAAGTCACCCCCTGAACTCCCAGGTGCTCACAGGGGGATTCTGTAGATCTGTTCCAGTGTCAAGTAGAAACCTGTACTCTGATGAAACAGACTTCAGCTTCATTCTACATCATTGCCAGATGCACAGTGAGCCTGAGAACTCCCCTCAGACTGAGGGTACCAGTGACTTTGAGATTCTGGTACGACCTGGCTTAGCTATACCCTCTTGGAACTCCAAGAGACTGTATGTACAACATCCTATCTCCAGAGAGCATGACTATTATTGAGCCAGTGGTTGCAGATAGTGCTCTAGAATTCCTCCAACACTAGAGAGAAATCTGTACCTGGTGGGACCTATTTGTATTTTGGCTTGAATTACTGTCAGTTTTAGCACAGGTCAACACCAAACTGGGGCAGCATAGTATGCATGGGGTCTTGTTTGCTGGGATTGGGGTGGAGTAGAGCAAGGGAGTCAGCACATGGGTATTCTGGGACTTAGTGCCAGCTTGATGATACTCAGTCTGAGGAGATCCTACAACTCATACCCCTAGGCTTTCTTGTACCTGGAAGAAGCCTGGTGCCAGGGAAAAACATGTGATCTGTGTTATTAAACTCCTGTTCCAGCCAGCGTTGTTTGTGGCTGATACTGAGGTCTTAGGTCAGGAGTCTGCTTCAGCTCAATCATGAACCTTGTGCTATGGTTTTCAGGCTATGGGCTCAGAGCATGATACAGCTTAGTGGCATTTATTGCCATGTATGTGGTATAGGAACTTGGTCCACTAATGGTAGCTCCATCCAGTTTTAGGCAAAATTCTGCAGTGTCTGACCACAGCTCATGAACAGATGAATCATCTGGTTCTACTCCAGTCCCGGGGGGTGGGGGTGGGGAAGTAGTAAGGATGGATACCCTTTCTAGATATCATACTTGTTCATTTTGAACCACACACCACTGTCTGAGGCAAATCTGAGTCTTGATTGCTTTCTAGTTCTGAAAGAAGCTATATCATGCCTACACAGGAAAAAACAAACAAACAAACTGGGTTTGGATGCTGCCTATGCTGAGATGGTGGAAGTGACTACAGGTTGAAACCAGCTTGTTCCTGGAAAGACAGAGACTAACAAAACCAGATTGTGAAGACTGAAAGACCCAATCTTTCAGTTTTTAGATGATTTGGCACAGATAGGCACCGAACAGTTTTATGAAACCACAGTCTTTCCCAATGGTCAGAATTAGGTGTCAGAAATTGACAAGATAGAATCAGTATGACGTCTTATGACGTAACTATGATGAGAGGAACTCAGCGCCTTCAAGAACACACCCCGAGATGATCAGTATTCTGACAAAGAACCTCAACAAAGAGATGGAAAAACAACAGCAACAAAAACAAAAAACAAAACCCCCAAACCAGATGTGTTACTCAGGGTTCTCTAGAGGATCAGAATTTACAGAATGACTCCTTTTCTATATACAGAACAAGGATTTATTAGAATTTCTTACAGGCCATGGTCCAGCTAGTCTAACAATGGTTTTCTACCAAAAGAAGCTCCAAGAATCCAGAAGTTGCTCAGTCTAGGAGGTGGGTGTCTCAGCTGGGTTTTCAGTACATGCTGAAATCCCGAAGAAGTAGGTTCTAATGCCAGGGAAGGAATGGACTTTCTAGCAAGGCGAGAGTAAAAAGGCAAAGAGCAAAAGCTCCCTTCTTCCATGTTTTTATGAAGGTTTCCAGCAGAAGGCATGATCCACATTAGAAGTGGGTTTTTCCAGCTCAAAGGGTCTGGATTAAAGGTGTGTCTTCATACCTCATAGATGTAGATTATAAACAGAGCTTCCTACTTCAAGTTAAGCGAAAATCCCTCATAGAGATACCAGAAAATGGAAAGATCTCCTGTGCTCTTGATAGGTAGGATCAACATAGTAAAAATGGCAATCTTGCCAAAAGATTCAGTGCAATCCCCATCAAAATCCCAACACAATTCTTCACAGACCTTGAAAGAACAATTCGCAACTTTGTATGGAGAAACAAAAGACCCAGGATAGCCAAAACAACCCTGTACAATAAAGGAACTTCTGGAGGCATCACCATCCCTGACTTCAACCTCTATTACAGAGCTATAGTCCTAAAAACAGCTTGGTATTGGCACAAAAATAGACAGGTAGACCAATGGAATAGAGTTGAAAACCCTGACATTAACCCACACACCTACAAACACCTGATTTTTGACAAACAATCCAAATTTACATGCTGGAACAAAGAGAACATCTTCAACAAATGGTGCTGGCATAACTGGATGCGGACAGGTAGAAGACTACAGATAGTCATAAGCCTATCGCCATGCACAAAACTTAAGTCAAAATGAATCAAAGACCTCAACATAAACTCAGCCACACTAACCCTATTAGAAGACAAAGTGGGAAATACCCTTGAACTGCTTCCTGAACATTACACCAGTAGCACAGACACTGAGATCAACAATTAATCAATGGGACCTCCTGAAACTGAGAAGCTTCTGTAAGGCAAACACAGTCAGCAAGACAAAATGGCAGCCCACAGACTGGTAAAAGATATTCACCAACCCCACATCTGACAGAGGGCCGATCTCCAAAAATATACAAAGAACTCAAGAAGCTATTCTCGAAAACACCAAACAATCCAATTAAAAAGTGGGGTACAGAACTAAGTAGACAATTCTCAGCAGAGGAATCTAAAATGGCTGAAAGACACATAAGAAAGTGTTCAACATCCTTAGCCATCAGGGAAATGCAAATCAAAACAACACTGAGATACCATCTTACTTCTGTCAGAATGGCCAAAATCAAAAACACCAATGGCAGTTTATGCTGGAGAGGATGTGGAGAAAGGGGAACACGCCTCCACTGCTGGTGGGAGTACCAACTTGTACAGCCACTTAGGAAATCAGTATGGTGACTCCTCAAGAAAATTGGAATCAGTCTACCACAAGATCCGGCAATTCCACTCTTAGGCATATACCCAAAAGAAGCACATTCATACAACAAGGACATCTGTTCAACCATGTTCATAGCAGATTTATTTTTTGGCTTTGTTTAAGGGGTTTATTGATTTCCTCTTTAAGGACCTTTATCATCTTCATAAAGTTGGTTTTCAGGTCTTTTTCTTATGCTTCAGCTGTGTTGGAATATGCAGGGCTGTTGTGAGTGACCCTTCTCAGTCATCCCTTGGGGGAGGGGGTGAGAAGATGCAGCACCAAGGACTCAGGCACTGGGAGTCAGGGAGCAGCAGAGCATGCTACAGACTTGTTTATTAAGGAAGTTAGGCCTGCCTTTATACCCTCTCCCAAGGTCCCATTGACTCAGATGGCTGGCTCTGTGCTTCATCCTTTCCTGTTGTTGTCTCTGGTCAGGTGTCTCTTTGTCATCAGTCTTTGGGTATAGAGGCAGGCTTGGCTCAGGGAGGAAGTGCCTGCAACACATGCTCATGAGGGCTGGCTTGGGCACCTGGGAAGGCGACTGCAGCTTGGGTGGGCTGGCCGGCATTTTCTTCTACACAGGGTTATCTGTAGTAGGATAGCTGGGCTTTGGTGGTGACTCATTGCCTTGGCTGTTACTGATTATGTTCTTATGCTTGCATAAGAAGGCTTCTAGGCCTTGAACTGCAGCCCCAATCAATGCTGCCTGTGGCGATCATGGATGGACGGTACATTGCAAAGGTGTAATCTGTAGCACAGAGGGCCAAAAAGGTCTGGGTGTGCTTTTTGACCAAGACCTGTCGGTCACTGGGCAGAGAAAGGTAGTGCAGAATCAGAGCCAGGAAATTGTGTGCGATCACAGCAGCTGGGTTCCACTTGAGATTTCCCCAGGACCAGCACCTCCTATTCCCGCAACTGTCAAGGAGCCACACTTTGGTCCCTGTAGATGCAGAACTTCTCAATAGTTGCGGGGGGGGGGTGGTTTTGTGCTGTTTGAAGGCCAGCAACAGGCAGACGGTACTGAGGAGCTGAAATTGCGTCTTTTGGGTGAGGGACGGAGCTCAGGTAGTTCATGACCAGAGGAAAGACATCCTCCTCGCAGCTCTGCTCCTCACACGCCTCCAGCATCCAGTATGCCAGCATCTTCCGCATATGGCGTATGCCCCTTGATCTCCTTTTGTATGCACTGGAAGTAGGGGGCTCACTGCTCACACTGCTCACTGCTCACAGTGCTCCTTCAGGCCGAACAAGCTCTACATGATACGCTGGTTCCCTAGCAGCCTTGGATCAGTGATGCTCTTGCAACAT